CTCAGGGAAGGATGGTTTTTATTGGCTCTTTAAATGCCCCTGTCAAGGAGATGGATGTGAAAGGTGCAMCAGAGCAGGTGTTCTCCTTCTAAAAATCCATCAGAGGAGCTCCTGTCCAAGGAGAGTGACCTCAAACAAAATCCACCCTCAGCAAATTCTGACAATGGTTTTGAAGGAGAATTCAGATTTCTGCCCGTCTGGCTCAGCCAAGTGCAAAAAGATCAATCCTGGGAAAAAGAAAAAAAACTTTGCAGCTACTGAGCAGAATTTCTTCAAAGTTTGTATTCTCTCAYAGAAGAGCATGGAATAAACATCTGAATGCTGGTTCTCAAAATCCTTAGTTCCTCTAATATTTGAAATAGCATAGATGCTCTCATTTGATCCTCCCTGCCAGTGAATAGCTGAGCATTAACCACATAATCAGGGAAGGGTTTGGGTTGGAAAGAGCCTKAAAGCTCATCCCATTCCACCCCTGCCATGGCAGRGACAGTTTCCACTGTCCCAGGKTGCTCCAAGCCCTGTCCAGCCYWGCCTTGGRCACTTCCARRGATCCAGGGGCAGCCACAGCTTCTCTGGGCACCCTGTGCCAGGGCCTCCCCACCCTCCCAGGGAACAATTCCTTCCTAATTTCTAATCTAAACCTTCTCTCTCTCAGTTTATAGCCATTAATAAAAATATATATTAAAAAAGAACACATTGCACGAAAGCCTGTGCATTCCAGAGAAAAACTGTAGTTGTTGTTATTTCTTCAAACAACTGTCAGGCCAAATCTGTGCTGGGTCTGGAGCAGAATGTGAAGTTTTTCTCAGAGCTCTGTCTGTGTGTCAYTGCCACTACAATTATATTCTGTCTCTAACAGCACTTGAACCATCACCAGGCATTTTTGCTTTTAGTCAGCTCATTTTGAGATGTTTTCACTCAGAGTCAAAGGGTTTCTTTCTCCTGTGAACCACAGAAGCAAGCAAAAGAGAAAGAAAGGATGAGTGCACATCACTTCAGCAGCGCAGCACAAATGAGCAGTTGTCTCCCTGTTTGGGTTGGATTGCAGGCGATCGGAATTGCATCGTGTCCCCATCGATTTTCCCACATTCCCCATGCGCTATCGACTCAGCTGCTGAAGCCGTGAGGCAGAGACAGTTAAGGAAATATTTACAGGAGACTGARTCCTACAGTAAATCAGTAATGAACTTGTTTGTCTGACCCATTTATTCATGACCCATAAGTGAGCTGCTGCTTTTTTCTGGAAGCGTCTCCCCCACCCCAAACACCAACGGTGATGCTGCACAAACCGACAGAGGCAAAACAGACCCTTAAATCCTCCACCAACATTTTCATTTTCTGTAATGAACACAACAAGAGAATCTGCATTGTGATCATTCCTTCCAACTTCTTGATTAACTTCCCCTCCTGCTTCCTCCAGCTGAGCAGTAAAAGTTGAATATCTCCTATGAAAATCAGGCTGGGAGAGCTGGGGGTGCTCACCTGGAGAAGAGAAGGATCCAGGGAGARYTYAGAGACCCTTTCAGGGACTGAAGGGGCTTCAGGAGAGCTGGAGAGGGACAAGGRATGGAGGGACAGGACACAGGGAATGGGGTCACACTGAGAGAGGACAAAGTTAAATGGGATATTGGGAAGGAATTGTTCCTGTGAGGGTGGAGAAGCCCTGGCACAGGGTGCCCAGGGAAGCTGTGGCTACCCCTGGATCCCTGGAAGTGTCCAAGGCCAGGCTGGGCAGGATTGGAGCACCCTGGGACAGTGGAAGGTGTCCCTGCCCWTGGGAAGGGTGGGACTGGATGGGATTTAAGGTTCTTTCCCACCCAAACCAGTCTGGGATTCTGTGATCTCTTTCCATTCACTTCAGCCCTGGGAACAGCTCTCAGACAAGTTTACACAAGTTAACGACGTTCTGCTTCCTGCAAGTTTAAAAGTGTAAAAGAGAAATATTCTTTTACGTTAAACAGACACTGCCTTCCACTCTGAGTGTTTAATCTGAAATGCTTAAAACTCTCCCTCACACTCACATCAAAGCAGCCCCAGGACAGGCAGGAGAAGGGGGTTATTTGTGATACATCTTTTTTTCRTGTAAAGACTCAGCATTACAAGGAAATTTTGAATGTAAATAAGTGCCTCTGAAGAAAATAAAACTTGTTAAGCTCATCCCAACCCTTTRTGCTTTTACAGGATCTCTGAAAACTGTTTGATGTTCTGTGGGTCCCTTTCTCAGTGACCTGACACCTCTCTAAACGCCAAGATTTTATGAACAGCAGCTGTACTCGCCCATGTTGCTTCCAAACCCACAAAGATTTCAGAAATAAATGAGGATTCATCAAAAGCAACAATTTTCCTCGAAGGCTGTTGCTTCTAAACAAAAAAAGCCCACACACTTCTTCCCAAATGCCTTCTCCGAGACTTTCAGCAGCACAAAAGACTCCAGGAGGARTCCATAGAATCCTGGAATGTTTTGGGTTGGAAGGGGCTTTAAAGCTCATCTTGTTCCACCCTCTGCCATGGGCAGGGGCACCTTCCACTGTCCCTGGGYGCTCCAAACCCCRTCCAACCTGGCCTTGGACACTTCCARGGATGRGASARCCACAAYTCTCATAAAAGAAACTCATCCAGAGATCGTGGGAGGCTTCAAATCGCAGTAGAAGCAGAGAAATAATTGGATGCAGCTCAGCAGAGAGCCAGGMTTCCTTCATTCTGTGCTCACAGACTCTTTATCCAGACTGCACAGCACATCCTTCCCTCACTCAGCCCAACATTCCAATCCCTCACCTTGCACCAGCGACCTGCCAAAGCAAGAAAACCCTCAGCTCACCGAGGGGGAAATGAAGCAAAGCTTTTTCTCTTTAAATCTGCAACTCCAAGCACTGCTGGAGGAGAAGGATCCACCTCCTTCACACAAGAGCCCCCTGGGATCAGACATTCCTCCCTGCACCGCTGCCACACCTTCTCCAAAAGCTGAATTGCTGTTTGTTTGGGTGACATGGGAACGTCAGAAGAAGCAGACAAGCTCCTGCTTCTTCCCAGGGATCCCAGCCTTGCTGCTAACACCAGCTGGGCTGAGCTCAGGAGGGATGAGGATATGGGACAAGGGGAGGATTTCTGCAAGGYAGAAATCAGAGCTGGTGATACAGATTAAGTGCAAACACAATGTATTGTTGATTGCTGTGTCCAAATGAGCTTTTTGTGACACRGTTTTAAGAAAAAACAGGCAGCTCTTGCCAAGAAATCAATTTAGAGGTGCTCAACACAAGCACGCACTAATTTTTAAGTAGATAAAAGAAAAATCCTGTCATTTTAGAGCTCTCATCTGATGCTGTTTTCTGCAGTCACGATGGGCTCCAAGGTTCTCTCCAATTTTCCAGCACAAAGTCCTAATCTGAGGATATTCTAATGAAGTGAGACAAATGCTCAGCACAAGCACAGCCTGGCAGTTCTGCCACGGAACCGGAGGCTCTGCCAAATCCCGAGGTCAGGGTTTACAGAACAACACTTGGAGAAACTCTCTGTGTGTAAATGAAGACACACTTTGGCCTGTGACTGCCACCGTGTGCAGAAGCGTTTTCCTTGGAGGAAAACAAAGCAATCTGCATAATCCTGGCAAATTGGGAAGGCAATTTCAGCGCTCACATCCAGTGCTTTGTGCTGCGATTTCCTAAAGGATATTCCAGGCAATTCCAACCACAYATCCCCTCCAAGAATCAATCCAACTTTAAGCCACTTTGGCACTGTGAGGCAGAAATTTAAGGTTTGTCTGCTGAGCAAATAAAACATGGAGATATGGGGTGCCCCAGGGTCAGAAAGCAGCACATCCTTCTGGCAAAGACTGTGATTATCTCAAAGCTTCTTTGCCTCCTCACTCTTTGCCTTTTCGTAGTGCCTTCCACACATCCTTCCCTTTCCCAAAGGATTTAAGGACCAGTCTCTCCAGCTGGCTGCCCTCTCCTGGATGGAATCAAAAAGTGTTTGATTACTTCCACTTAGATAAAATGCAGTGATCTGCTTTTAATTTTTTTTTCTTTGGGTCTGTATAATCACAAAGGTTCCACTAYGCCAGAATGAGAACTAGGAAATTCTAAGGGGTTGCTTCATAACCCTCAACAGAGCTGCCAACTTTTCTGAGAGTAGAGCTTTCAGCCAAATTTCCTTTTTTATAAGTATATTACAAAGTTTTTAATTTTTATATTCCTTCCCTGCATTTATCAGTGCCTAAATTCCGCTGTTGTTCCCCTGTAAATGACTTAATCCTTCYAGAAAACATTTCCATATCTCTTTGTTGCTCAAGGTAAGCGTGTTAAACGCAGACTATTTGGGCTGGAAGGGTTCTTATATAATCTTTTCCCTGTGCCTCGAGTCAGGGTCAAATATTTCTTTGCTACTCTCCACCAGTGCTTGGCTGACCCCAGTTAAAGCCAGCTGATAATGGGTTTTTTGCAGGGAACCCGCTCTGCTCCTTCCCCAGTTAACTGTTGGTGTTCCCACAGGTTTGTTTACAGACTCCTGCGATGAGCAAAAAGCCCTGGAGATGATTTTCTAAAGGACCCATTCATCAGGGAGCTGGGAGTTTCATTCGGGGAGCCCTCATCTTTAAATTGAGGGCAAGGATTAGGATGCAGAGTGGAGAGCTGAGGACAAAACATCCCTCACAGAGGGTTTCAGTCGCTGCCAGCGGCACCGCGGAGCCGGAGGGTTCTCTGAGCGTTCTGTGAGCGCACTCAGACGACCAGCCGCGCTTTCAAACTTTCACTGCACATCTGTGCATCCCTGCYTGGGCTCGGCAGCGAGCCAAGGGCTGAATTCCTGCGAGTCCGTGCAGCTCCCACACGTCCCCAGCGCTAGGACCCAGAGGGAGCTGGATCGCCGTGAGTCAGAGCGGCGCGGAGCYCTGCGAGCGCTGAATGAGGCTGCACCGGCAGAGGGGATGTGAATGGCTCTGCGGGCTGGGCACAGGGGCCAAAGAGCGGGGTGCCACGGAGCCCAGAGCAGCCTGGACACCCCTCGGGAGCAGCAGAGCCCCCGGGCAGCAGCGCTCCGGCTCTGAGGTGAGTGACCCGCCCGGCCCCGCACGGCCCCGCACGGCCGGAGCGCGGCTGCGGCAGCGCTCGGGTAACTCGGGGATCTCCCCGCGCCCGAGGTGCGGGTGTTGAGAGCTGCTTTTCGCTCTCCGGACGAGGCACGCGTCGGATGTCGGCTCAAAAGCAGCGTTTGCAAAGCGCGGCGTGGTTTGGTGAAGCCGAAAATCGCATCTGCTAAGGCAGGTTCGGCTGCACGCACATCTGGAAGGTGTTCGCAGGGCAGCTGTGGATAAGCTTAAAGCTCGAAAAACATCTTTAGTGAGAGCAGCTTAATCTTAGGGAAAYGCAAATGTTCTTATTCTTTTTATCCAGGTATATGGGAACTTAGTTTTATTTGCATTCTGTGGCAGATACACCTATATGAAAATTCTTTGCTGGCTTTGTTCTGAATGTTGAGGTTTTCTTATTTCCTTTTTTTCTTCCCTACCCAGTGATAGTTCTGCTCTAGATAAAAACTCCTTTCTTTCTTTCTTTACTAATGTAAATAAATAGGAATTCTGCCAAATCAAAGCGTGACTGACCCAAGGCAGAATCCTTTCAGCTGCAGACAGAGCAGGACTTCAGCAGAGACCGTGGATCCTCTGGGATGTCCACTTGGAAAAGCTCACGACCTCCGTGCTGCCTGTGTGCAGTGACAGGATGGAGCTGACAATGTTTATTGATTTATGGCTGGTGATAACACTGTTCTAGCACAGATAAAAACGGGGACCCCAGGCAGGGAGACAGAAGGAATTTGTGTGCTGAGAACAAAAAGTGCTTGTGCTTCGGTTCTTTCTTCRCTTTAAATTCTCCTTATATGCTCAAGAAGTTTTAGAAAAACACCAAAAGTGAGCGTGCTTGTCAGGCTGGTTTTCCGAGTTGTCACAACTTGGAAGTTGCATTGTAACTGTTAGACAGATAATTTATGGATGTTTTCATGCGTTGCAGTATCACAATCAAGTTTTTGGGGCACTTTTTTTCCTCAGCCAAACGAAAATGTGACAATTATCTGCAATAAGACAGACAGGGAGCTGACTTGTCTGTACATTCCTGCTCTTGGCATTTGGGAGCTGGTTCAGATATTGTGGAAAACAGGCTTTAAAAATCCCCCTGCCAACTGCCATTTCAGGCAGTTTTGTCTGAAATTGAGAGGGTTACAGCATTTTCTGCAYTTCCCCAAGAGGTTACAGGGATGGAATGAAGAATCAAACATCCTGGAGAGTTCTCAAGTATGATAAGAAAGGCTTGGCCTTTAGATTYGTTAATAATCATAGACATGAATCATTTTTAAACAAATCTCAGCGAGGTCTGGAGAGGAGCCCCCTGACACATGTGTGATTTCACAGTTTGATCMGTCCCAGCCACTCACCCCGCAGGGATCTGTCCCTCACAGCAAGGTGGGAAAGAAAGGAACTGTGGCCGTGTTCTCCTCATCCTCACAGCTGGGCAGTGCCCTTTTCTCCATCAAAATCTGAAATTATCTTCTTAGACATYTTTATTTGAGTTCAAGCATGGAGAGTTGCAATGGGCATAATTTTAACCCACATGCTAAATGAACAATTATTTCATAGGACAACTGAGCAGGCTTTGAAATAACCATAATTAAAAAAATCAGGTAGGAAAATAGCTAAAATATGTATTCAGGTTACCATTTTAAAGTGTAAAATGTCTTTMTTTAATGGGTTGTCTAGAATAAGGGTCAAATAGAACACAGTAAAAAMTAGATGGTTTCAATCAATAGAATAAATCCCATAAACTCCCCTACTGCTCCATGGCTTCGGCCATATAAAAGTTCCATTAAGCACAAATTTTATTAATTTGCTTTCTGTTTCCTTACAAAATGCTTTTAGAACTCGCAGATTATTGAATACGTACTAATTAGCATTATTGAATTAAATTAAAGGCACGTGGAAAAAAATACTGGTGATTTTAAGAAGTTAACAGAAAGCTGTGATTTTTTTTTTTTATCAGCCTTTTATTAACAAACTGCTGATTAAAAAAAAAAAAAAAAAAAAAAAGTTACTAAAATCCAGGGTTTCATTCCAAAGGATTCAATGCTCTAACAGTAAGTCAGCGCTGGATTGGTGGGGTTAGAAATATTTGTCAATCCTAAAAGAGAGGCCAATGAAAGCCAGGAAAACTCAACCCCTTCCAGCCCAACTGCAGCAACGGTGACCTCTGCCGGCAATGCCCGGGGAGCCGCGGCTCCGGGGCTGCTCGGGAAAAGCATTTCTTGATTTATTGAACTGAAGTTTTTATTAAATGTCGTTATATTCCCAGAGAAACGGGCAACACCTCTTCCCACTGAGTTTATCTCGGAAAAGACAGAAAGAAAGAAAGAAAGAAAGAGAGAAACAGAGAGAGAAACTTATCTCAGGGCAACAGAGCTGGGGAAGGGGCTGGAGAACCAGGAGAGGATGAGGGAGATGGGAAAGGGGAGAAAAGGGAGAAAAAGGAGAAAAGGGAGAAAAGGAGGATCAGGGGGAACATTGTGGCTCTGCACAACTCCCTGACAGGAGGGGGCAGCCGGGGGTGATTTGGGATCTGATCCCAGGAACAGGGACAGGAGGAGAGGGAACGGCCTCAGGATGGGTCAGGGAGGTTTAGGATGGATATTATGGGAAATCTCTTCACTGCAAGGGTTGCCAGTTTTGGGACAGGCTGGCCAGGGCAGTGCTGGGGTCACCATCTCAAAGTGCTGCAGAATGCCCAGGTTTGGCTCTCGGGGCCGTGGTTTGGGGGTGAACTCAGCAGTGCTGGGTGAATCTGTGCATTCCATCATCTGCAGGGCTTTTCCAACCTGAATGATCCCAGCATGGGGTGGAAGCAAAAAGCACCTGGGCCACTGCTCCTGGAGCTGCATCCCTTCCCTGGGCAGAGGGAAATTGTCCTGTGCTGGCTCTGAGCTGAGCAGGGTCACAGAGGCCAAAGCTTTGAGGAACATTTATCCAACCAAAGCTCAGGGCACAGATGTCCCGTGGGATGTGTTGTGGCTTTTTCTCCCCCYACAGTGCCCTTTGTGCAGCCCCACAGAATTCATTAAATATTTGTGTGCGTGTGTATGTGAATTTATACCAAAAATTATGTGGGCAAGCAAAGCAAGATCATTTTTGCTGTTGCCAAGAGATCTCAGCATCAATTACTGTGAGTTATGTGCACTCTTGTCTGCCCAGTGCCACTGACACTAAAGCCAYGGAATTTTGGGGGAAAGAAAATCTCAGACCCTCAGTATAAACCCACCCTGACCCCAAATCCTGGGTGCTGCTTGTTGTTCTGGTTACCAGAGACAAAAGGATAAAGCGAACCAAGAAAAGGTGCAGGGTGGTGAAAGACTGGAACATTTTCTGTATTTAAACTACAGAGATCATGATTTCTAAGTCTGGAAAAGAGATGGCTGAGCAGGGGTGTGAGGGAGATATTTATAGTCACAGTTGTCCTTAAGATGTTGAAAGGAAATGGCTGTTGTCAGAAATCAAGGGGCAGGAGAGAAAACTGGCAGGTGGAGATGTCAGGGCAAAGAAGCCACAGTGGTGCCTCTCTCGGGGCATGAGGGAGCTGAGAAATCCCTTCCCATGGGATACCCCAGATCCCAGGGCTCTGGAACAATCAGACAGGATGAAAGCAAAGGTGCTGCCTGTGCTTCCATCAGTCTGTGATTGCAGAGTGGGAGAGCAGCCCACGGAGATGATCCCAGCGTGGTTTGTRCCCCACTCCCCAGCCATCCCTGACYTGGATGCATTTCTGCTCCAGTTCCTTCTCCTTGGTGCTTCAGCTGTCAAATACTCACCCTACCCCACCCCAAAAACTCTGTAATATTTACTGAGCATTGCCAGTGAAAGAATGGYAGCTCTGGCAAAACAAAAAGGTAAAATATCATCCCTCATTTTGATTTTTTTGCTCAAGAATGAGGTGTAGAGCAGTGTTCATGGAAGTTACCWCCGCAGAAAGACATCAGTGATGAGATTTACAGCTCTTCAGGCAAATCAGGGGCTGAAGAGATCATGGCTGAGATCCTGGAGAAAGGCCTGTGACTCGTGAGGYATCTTGTGCAATTCACTGAAATGGGGAAATACCACTTTATCTTATCTCTTCGTGGTCTTTAAATGAGCTGACATTGAAACTCGTTATGAACTCAGGTCACTTCTAACAGCTTCCCCTAAAAATATTAYACAGGAATAAATCTCGAGTAAGAAGTAGCAGGGAAATGGCTCATTAATTACACTGACAATAACCTTTCACTCTGAGAACTGCAAAACACAGCAGAGAATGGCAGTGCCAGCAGGGAAATCAAGGTGCCAAGAACCTGAGTGGKCTGGCAGAGAGCTGGGGAGTCACCAAGGACATCCAGAGCTGGCTACAGCAACCCAGAGTCAGCACAACTGCGAGAGACAGCAGAGCACACCAGCACTGGGCAGCAGCASAAAAACAGGAAAGTGCAGCTCAGGGTTTAGAGCCTGGAGACAGCTGAGAGTTACCCAGTGAAGAGAGAAATCCGGCCCTAAATGCACATACAAATGAGTGGGACTTGTCTTGCATGTTATCTAAACTCAGATCACTGCAGGAAGGAGTTGGAAATAACCTTTGATGGCTTTTCTGCCACTTCTGTCCATCCTTTGAGTTGCCCCAGGCCACTGTTCACTGAATGAAACACCTCTGACTTTTCCTTATCTTGCAGGCAGAGGTTATTYCCTTTCTTCTTTTTCCCTGAGGCTYCTGCATTTAYAGCAATGCTTTGAGATTTTATGGCACAGTAGTTGACACCATCAGGTGACCCAAATCCAGATGTATCAGTTGCTAAGTTTGGTTTTATCACATAAAATCACAGGAATGAGAAGGGAACTCATCCCATTCACCCCTGCCACGGTTCAGGGACACCTTCCACTATCCCAGGTTGCTCCAAGCCCTGTCCAGTCTGGCCTTGGACACTTCCAGGGATGGGATAAAAACAACTGCTTTGGGCACCAGGAAGGAATTTCTCCCCAATATCC